GCTGAACTTGCCCCCACGCCCTATAAAACTAAAATGCTGCTCAACTTCTGGGTCAGAGCACTACCATGTTCCCCGACTTAATGTCCAGTGCTGACATACCCATATGCTTGAAGAGGGGATCACAACTTTGTCTGTACTTTTTGCCTTGGACCAGTAAGAGCACAAAACCCCTCTGCTATGGCCCACTGACTGGAAAGAAATGGTTGCTACCTTTTTTCACAAGGCTGCTGTCCAGTTGGTGAGTCTCTGTGCTGTGCCCTGATCCTGGAGATAGCGGGACTAGTTGAAGGATCTTGCTACAGAAAAGCTAAAAGAAGCTAGCAGACTGAAACAGCAACTCATAGTCTCCCTTTTTACTTTCTTCTGACAGGAAAGCATGTATATATGCTCTTGTCAAAAACAGTTGAGAGCAACTGAATTAATTTTACATAAAATTAGCTGTTGTAGGAGAGAAGAAAACACTGCTTAAAACAAAACAGTACTCAAAAATCTTGGCAAAGTTCATTACAGTGAGATTTTAAACACAGCTGAATTGATTCTTTTCTTATGTAAGAAAACTCATACAACGTCTGCTCAGTATTTTCAACTATCTGAAGACTTTTTATCAGCCCTTTCTCTTGACGTGCAATAATTAAGGCAATAGTAGTGAGAATCCCTCCAACATTAGAGGGATTTTTCATGCCATGTAGTCCCCATGTATATAATAGGACTACATGTCATTATGAATGATAAAACTGCCAAACTAGGATGAAATTATTTACCATCAGCACCATGTATATCTGTGAAGGCAGGATGCCCAGAGATCATTAACACATCTCTCAACTGAATTTCCGATCTTCACATGTCTGATGAGGTGCCTTACTACACAATCCTAAGTAAAACATTCACAGTCTCAATGTGGTGTATCTCTTAAAATTATAAAACTACAAAGTAGTTAATATTTACAATTTTTTTATTGTTACCTTTACTATCAAACTCAGCTGACAGCGAATGTAAAACTGCATATACTTTTCAAACTGATGAAAACCACCCGTGAGGCAAAAATCTAAATAGAAGTAAAAAGAGCAGCAGTAAAAGATGTCATATTTTAAATGACAGTATGAATGAGTTTCTACAATGGTCTTAATACCCTTCTGTGTAACAAAAACTGAGACAGCAAAGCTCCTGTAAAAGCGTATCTAATTGCTTAAAGCCAATTTCAAATTCATTATCAATTAACAAGTACCACTTTAAGATATCAGCACATAAAAAATTTCCTGGGAAGATAAAATCAATTTTTCTTGTCACAGATAAGCAAAAGAGGCTTAGTGATCCATAACCAAATTTCTTCAAGATGTCTGTTCAGTCTTTCGGCAACTACACATCACAAGCCGTGGCAGATGCTCTAACCTCCAAAGCCCGCTCCATCTTGGCAGAGTTGAAGACACCCTCTGTTTCAGAGGCTTACTCACCACTTTGAACCTCTCCACAACAGAACACACAACTCTGCAGATCATTTGAAAGGCTCAGGTGGCAAATATAGTAAGGCCTTTTCTTAACTTGCAGTGCAGTTTTTCTCCTGTAGATTTGAGGCTAGTGAAAGGAAAACAGGTTAAATTTCCTGCTTCAAATTAAACAGTGACAGTGGTAAATAGTTATGCAGAGGAGGTCCTCTAGGACACTATCCAGGGCAAGAGGACTACACAGTGTCTGGGGTATCTTGTTTCTAGCTGTGCTATGGCGAGGATGAACACCACCACCACGCAAAGGTGCCATATAAGGCCCATGGCTAGCTGAGTTACCTTCAGCAAAGTGATTTGAACAGAATCATACTCGGCTCCCATTAGAGCTCCATCTGGCAACACTGCAGGAACGCTATCAAGCCCAGCAAAACCACTTAGGTTTAAGGAGCCTTCAAGAGGGCAATAGGTCGACATTATCCCTAGGGAGACTTTGATGAAATTAAACTCCTTCAGTGATAACAAAGCGTAGAATACCAGCAACTGAGGCACAAACTTCTGCTCAAAATGCCAGACCAAAAGCCTTTCTGTTTGGCCTAGTAGAACCTTCTTGCCAATAAGCATTTTCTTTAGCAGTCAGGTTGAGATGACAGAGAAAAAACACAAGCTGAACAGGGGTGTTGAAGAACAGCAAGTGTTCCACATAACCTGTAACTACAGGTTCTTACCTTACAGCAGGAGTGGAGGGAACCTCATGTATTAAGAGTCTTGGCACCTGGACAGCCATATTTTATGGTCCAAAAAGAAAAAAAATGAAGTATCTATAGAGCTATCAACCATATAGATCATATAGTTGCCATATTACTAGAAATCAGCAAGCAGACCTGTTTCTGGACTTCAGTTCAGGATTTCCATTAAAGTTGGTTCAGGACAGAATGGTCTCTGCAATTTGAAGGATAGCCAGAGGAAAAAAGAAATAAAAAAATTGTGCCAACATATAGTACAGGTTGAAGGACAGAAAGTAACAGAAGAGTAAGAAAAATGGCATGTTAAGCTAAGGGTGACAGGCAAATGAAATCTAGTTTGAAGGACACCACAGCCAGAGTAGATGCTCCAACTCATGGTAGATGACTGTGAAAGAACCCGAGAGAATGGTATATGATTTGACCTTTCCTGTTTCAGCATGAGAAAAAGTGAATGATGGTTCTTTGGCCCTCTTCAATAACGTTAAATCTATAAACATTTCTTGTCATGTCTTGTCATGTCTGTGGAACACAATCACCCACAGCTTGAATTTGACATTATTCTGAAAGTGTTTAATAATTTTACATTTTTTTAAACTGATTTACACATACTCCTGAGAAAATGGTAGTAATTTTAAGCTTAGTGATAAACAAATATATCAGAATAATTAACTACACATTTCTTTAATTTGTTTAAAAAATATAAAAGTAATTAATAGCTTTAAAAATAGATTTTTAACTCGCTTTTAGCTAATAATAATAGGATTTAACAGTGGGCTTGAAAATACTAATGTTACAGATTTTTACAAGTTAGATAGCATACCTGTAACTACTCTTAATGTATTGGTATTAGCCATGCCACATAATCAGCTTTTGGTCTTTATAAAATTTTAAAAAAATTGAGCTACAAGCTAGATAGGAACCACCAGCTACAAAAATCCTGCATTTTTTATTTTTTTAAAAATGGAGTACTGAAACCCTATTTGTTTTTGTATTTCATCTTAATTTAGTGCACAAAAATGTCATCACAGAGCTGGGGCAAATGCTTCCTTAGAAAGTCAACCAAAAGGTGGTAACAGGCTACTACTAAGAAAATTTCTTTGTACACCATCAAGTTCATCACAAGCCACCCCCAACAATCATTTTATGTTTCTCAGAAATGCATAGGGAAGTATACGTGCCTTTTACCCTTCCTTGATGATTAAGATACCAAAGATTTTAAAGGTCTGAAAGGAGGCGAGTTCCTCAGTAGAAAACCCATCACAGGAAAAAACTCCCCATCTCTAGTACACAGTAGGATTCAAGCAGCTGGGCCACCCAAAGGAGGTCACTGAAGGGACACAAATGCTGCAGCTGGACTACAGCTGTCACAGGGATGATATGAAGGTTCATTATGGTGTGGTAAGCAATCTAGCAGCAGGGAGGTAACTGAAATACTGTATAACTTTATATATATACACCATCACAAATTTCAATTATGGTTTTTACTGTCCTGTAAATGTCAAGATTTTATAAATATGAATTAAAACATTTTAATTCTTCTGTAATTAAAGTGCCAATTTCTACCAGTGCAGGGAGTGTTTCATTGCTTGTAGCCAGGTATCCATAGCGGGTTTGTATTCCTCCAAGTCCTTCTGGGGCTCAAAAACTGCTTCTATTTGCCTTAGCTTCTTTAGTTGTTCTTTGTCAGTCCAAAATCCTGTAAACAGAAAGTTCATTCTCAGGCCTAACTGCAAATATGTTATTTTTGAGTTGTTTTAATATATTTCCAAGAGATCCAAAGCAGAAACACAGTAAGAAACCATGACAGCTTTTCTTTACTCAACCAACAACTTTCTCAGAGGGAAGCATATTTTTAACATTGTGAAACTCGTTTCCATCATCCACTTGTTTGGAATCCTGACAACAGCACATCTGCTTCACTGGGACAGTTTCCAAGGTACAGCTCTGGTACACTGAAGTTCCCTCAGGTTTCATCCACACTGTGCTTTTGGTTCCAGGTCCCTCTCAATGAAGAAGGGCCACAGAAACCAAGACTTAGCACTAGTTGCTTCCCTACTGTCTTTAAAATCGCATAAATGGCAGAAAACAGCTGGTGTTACATATTCAGATTAATTTATGTTATTGAATAATTCTTGGTTGTCAAGGGCTGCAGCTTTCTTACAGTTTTAATTGCTGAACAAGTCTTACCTGAGCATATACTTTTTATCTTCCAGTTGTGTTATTTACATACCAAAGCAATTTAATGAAGTTAATGGAAATACATTTTGTAGGTGGATATTAAGCAAAACCATTGACAGTTTGTAGCTTTAAGTCTGGTTAATTATATAAAACAATTCTGTGTGAGTAGAGCTGAATTTTTTTTTTCCCCTGTACTTCCATTGCATTTATTTCTGCAAAAACCTTAAAAAATAAAGACTTGGTTCACAGATGACAGGACACAGCTTCAGTAGGAATGACATGGCTGCATGTAAGCGTGGCAGTTTCCTTGTCATGTGATCCATCCCCACCGAGCACAGCTCCAGGCAGTGCAAATACGGGAAGGGATGCAGAGTGTCTGGGTCAAGAAAGAGGGAGGCAGGAAAAATAGGGTTCACCTCTTCTCCAGTAGTATATCCTTCTAAATTTAAATGAATCTTGCAAACATACATGCAGATACTTTTCACATTAAACTCACTGTCACTATTAATTTATGTAAAACTAAACAAGCATAAAACTGCTTAGCAAATTGGGACATTATGTTAGAAATACAAGTAAGGTCCTTGATTTGGCTTAAGTATGACATTATCAACTGTTTCTTTGGTCTGTCAATTACAAGTACATGGGTACAAAGCACTATACAGAGAAACAAACACTACTTACCTTGGATTCCCACAAAAATGGCTAACATAATCCTCTGGGGAGTTCCTACAATTATTTGAAGTTATGCTCTGTTTTTATCTGTTTTTTTTTCTCTCCATATTTACAAACATGCATTATGAAGGGAAAACCAAAACCCTTTTAAATGTATACATACCTGAAGCAAGGCCTGCTAGAAAAGCTGCACCAAGACTAGACATGTCTGTGTTTGCAGGTTTTTCTATTTTCTTATTAATTAAATCTGAAGTCATCTGCATGACAAAACTATTATTACTGACACCTCCGTCAGCTCTATAGGGAGAGGGGAAGAAGTTAAATAAATGCTTTTAGTTCAAATGCTTATAGCCAACATTTCAGAAAACAACTTCTGGGGTTTCACACCTATGCATAAATCTTCCTGTCACTCACACACAAATGCATTTCCATTTTATGGGCAAATTTAGAGGCCAGCACAAGGTGCCTAGAAACAAAAAAAAAGAATGCCTATAAAGCGGGGGAAGAATGGTAGACAGACAGGGACACAGGACAGACACGTTATCAGAAGCTTTGAAAGCTCTGTCTTCTAAAACTACACATCATCCTGGTTGAAATGTTAGGGTTTATAACAGAACCTTTACATAGTTATCACTACAACGTGACAATAGTCAAAACCATTACATTGAACAACCCCTTTCAAGTGTTCCCAGATCTGGAAAAGTACTATTTCTATTACTACCAAATCTTTGTACAAGTTAGCTAAAATGCCTTCACAGTTGCGTCTTTTTATGAGGAAGATTAGAATGAGGCTTGCATCTATCTAGCTTCCTAACTGCATCATGTCGGAGACCCTTTTAATGGGGAAAACTAGAACTTACCAATGCTGATCTTTAATCATCCGAGAGTGATTAATAGTGGTGCAAAGTAATCACTCTTGCAAACAAAATAACAACATAATAAAAAGCAGTATTTGAATTGTCGTAGATTGGTTTGTTATACTGTTGGACTCCAATATCAGCCAGGTATGGAGCTATTGTTCTATCAAACGTGGTGCAGTAAAGACATTTACTGTTTATTACTATAGAAAGTGTCAGGTAATAAAACGTAACAGTTGCTTAGAAATCTTCGATTCAAATATGCCAGCTGAAATCTTCTATACTACGTGATGCCTCGGAAAACTTTTTCATAAATATTTTGGTTGTGAAAGTAAATTCAGGAGATACTGTCTAATTGGTGATGTTACAGAGTTTTGCTTGTTTGTACATATAGTTAAGCAAGGTTGCTGCCTCTACACCATGGCATAAAAACCTTTAACTTGCAAAGTCACTTTCTTAATGCCAGTGACATGCAATTTCCTTCTTCTGTAAAAATAAGACATCCATTTGATTCAAGTAACAAGGGGAAAAAAAAAAATACACAGTACAGTACACAGTACATCTTCTAGCTCAAAGTTCCTACATGCTATTTGACCAGGGATGTGCTGCTTCACAGAACAAGTAAATAGGTGACATTCCAGGCCCCCAGGGACCACCAGGATCATCCTTGTAAAGGCTGCTGCAGATTGCTACAACATAGGACATGAGGACTAAAACTGAGGGCTCCTTCTCTGTTGGTATTGAGACAAGCAAAGAAAAGTAATAGAAAGGTAGAGGACTAATGAAAACCATGACTTTGTAGGAGCTTGTAGGAGCCAGAGACCGGGAAGAAACAAGGGATGCAGGACAATAGCTAAAAAGAGAATTAACATATTTATGGGATAAAAACAACAACAATGAAAAAAATCAAAGGTAATGGATAGATACTAAAGATGGACGGGATAAGACAAAAGGATGGGAGAGCAGTTTACAATCCTACTGAAAAACCCATTAAGCGTGTATCATTATCTCCTAATGCTTAATCCACAAGCTGAATTGCTACTGATCGTAGTTAACTGATACCGTCACTAGACTAAACAGCAATTTTATATTAATGAATAAAACAGAAGATGATCATACAATTTAAAGTGTACATTATAATGTAAATGGGATTAGTATTCTAATGTTCCATAGGCAGTACTTCCATACTTCCCATTTTTCACTTCGCAGTCTTAATATGACTTCTCAAATTTTGGATACAATTTTCTATGTAAAAAAGCTTCCTAAGTAATCAAAAATTTAAATACTTTAATCTTTTCCTCTTCATTAAAAACCCAAGCCTGGCTGTTCCTTCATCTTTGCCTACTCTGTCCCAGTACTTGATGGAAGACAGAAACTTTTACCTCCCTTCACTTTGTAGTTTCACTTTTCTTCCCCTACTCAAAGTCTGCTTTCTCAATGTCTACATGCCTGCCAGTCTATTTCTTCCTTTGCATGGGTATTAGGAAAAAAGGCACAAGGACAGAAATGCTTGTGTCTCTGTTCTTGACAGTGGTATCATGATGACCCCTGGCTGCCACAAGGAGAAATTTTGGAGATCTTAGCATGAGAGGGCTTGAGGCTCTAAGACAACTGGTGTGTTCAAACGAAGTACCTACCAAAATGTGACAAGTAGTTCTCCAGCAACACATAACTCAGCTAAATCTTTCCAGCACGTTCTGAAAAGCATATTCTAGGGATCACGGTTACCTCACTAAATTTGATTTGCCTCTTCAAAGATTGAAGCAAAACCAATGTCTTAACAATTGAATGGTAAAAATATTCTCCCTCATTCCCTCACAAGTAGTTCCAGTTTTAACTGATGTCTTCAAAAAATATTCAGTCTGTGAGAGACCCAGCACAAAAAAATTTCAGTATGAAAGAACGATAATAAAGGGTAGAATGACCTTTGTGGTAGGCATTACTATATGCACTCTAGTGCTGCCTGGAAACATGAATTTGCCTTTTTTTTTTTAATAATTACAGCAATTCGTTACTCACCTGCTGACAATCACCAATGCCAACAGCTTAATTAAGAACTGACCCTTCTGTGGGTAGACTCTACTGCCACTTAAGTTACATTAACATTGACTTGGTAATCATCTATTTCTCAGCAGCAGAATTTTTACAGTAAGATAAAATGCATAATAAATTTCACACCTATTTAAAATCAAACTCCCATATATCAAATTTAAAAGTTACATGGAACTTACCGAATAGTTTGAAGAGGGATGCGTACTTTCTTCACAATGATATCATAAAGCTGTTTGTTTCTTTAAAAAAAAAATTTAGTTGAATTAAGCATTATGTATTCCATAAAGTGTTTCCAGTATCTACATAGTCAGAAAATAAAATACAAGGCAAAAAATGCCTCAGTTGTGTCAGAACTGCTGCAATAGCTAACAAGTTCCCAGAACATATAAATTTAAAAAAAAAAAAAAAGAAAAAAGAAAATAAAAAAGGAAAAAAAAGAAAAAACCTCAAACTGGTATTTGTTATACATCACTACAAAGGCACAAGCATGGCTAAATCACAGCCCATTCTATAGCAAGTCACTCTAGAAGGTACATTTTTCCCACCTGACATTGCTGATAGGTTTCTACAGACAAGACATAATTGTTGATGTAACAGGTGGTTTAGAGTGATGAAAGTAGGCTGATAGAGTGTTAACTGGAGTTTATCCAGCTGTTCTTTAAAGGGAACACCTGAAGGCTGTTTAAGTTTGACTTGTTCTGAAACCCTTTGGTTTAATGGGAGAAAATCTAAACACAAAGGATCTCTACCCTTTTCTAGTTAGGTATTTGAATGAGATGAGATTCTTAACATCCCTGTTTTCAAAAGACCCATGCTTCAGTTCAGGAATTAACTGCATTTCACATTCCTCTTACAGTGCAGGAAAAAAAAGATACATTAGAAACAGCTGCAGCAATTCAGAATGTTACCTTCTTCCTGACATCCTTTTTGCCCCTTTGCAGGAGGTTATTATACCCAAAGCAAAGCTGGTGACTAGATGGAAGGAATCATATCAGTGCTCCCTACTTGGCCACAGTGCAGTGCGAGCCAGGCTCAAACCATATTCAACTTCAGTTCAAGGCACACTCGGGTGGGTTTGCAAGGCAGAACCAATCTGTTCCACAGTGAGCTACTGATGTCATATCATCAGCAACTAGCAATAACAACTTTAACCTTGACAGTTAGATCTGGAAGTTGTTGTCAATTCACATCTTTAAAGAAGTTTAAGATGCCCATTATCGTGTTTTATAAAAGTCCAAAATTTCAAACTTTAGCCAAAGAGCCAATATAAAACTTCCAGCTTCAGTGATACTTTAAACAGATGGAGCAGGCTACACCTTACTCTCCTGACAGTGTGGACAAACTTTAAACAGAAAAAATGTTTAGAACATGCAGAAAACAATGTAATTTAAGAATCTCTATACGGTTACTTAATAACAAAAACTCTGAACTAATAAATATACACAAATTTATTTGTAAAGTGTTAAAGAAAAAAAGGGAAGCAGCTAAAACTCCTTTTCAGTGTAACAACAATGGATTACTACGATTTATATTTCACAAACTCCAGAAGTCCATGTATCCATTTAACACTGCTGATGAAAATAAAAGCAAACATAAGAAGATATAACCAAGATAATTAAGCCAACAGTACCTGAATGCTACAGATTCCAATATAGCTCGTACAAGATGGTTTCTGGTAATGGAGGGTTTCAGCCCCATGAAAGAGGCACATAAACATGGGTCATTCACAGAAACCTGCAGAAAGGATTTCAACATGAGTTCAGTGAATTGCATTTGCAGGCTTTTGAGAAAGGAGTCAAATAGTAAAAAAAATAAAGTAATAACTTACGACAATTACAGGCAGCATAGTGAAAGAAGAAAATTGAAAAGAATATGTAAGAGGTATATAGTGTTATTTTAGCTGAATGAACAGTTTAAATAGCTTCTTCCAACAGCAAAAGGTTTAAGTGGCTTCTTCCAAATCTGACATACTAAATAATGCTAATCTGTATGACTTTTCTTTAAAATACAAATAGTGTACACTTTAAGTGTCTAGGACAGGGCACACCGATATTGCTGTTCTCTAGCAAGATTTCACACACATACTTTTTTTTTTTTTAAACAATCCTGAACTGGTGAAAGATGTAGTGACTTTTAAAAGTAACACTGAAAAGGATGGTAATACTTTTTATTAGGTTATACTACAGCCTGTTATCAGTGACACTGATAAACAGAGTCCATCTAAAATTCTAATGGTCGCCAAGCTCTCTTTTTTTTGCAGAACTAGAGAATCAATTGATGAATCTCCTCTCCACCTCTCTACTCCTCTGATGAACTTTATCACAAAGTATTAGTTTGCTGGTCCACACCTGGTTTGTGACAATGTTAAATCTTATTTTCACTGGAGACAGTAATTTTTAAATTGAAACAATTCTTTCAAGTTGTATTGTGCTAAATATCAATTATGACAACACTTACCAGAAGTTTGAATTTCATGCTTATAAAATACATACACACATATTTATAAAGTAAGTTAAGAAAATGCTATCATTTGTTTAAAAAAAATTTAAAAATTACGTATGAATACGTACACAGAGCCAAAAAGAAAACTGGCATTTTGCAGAAGTTCCTAAATAGAAGAAACTCCTGCATTAAAGTCAAAGAAAATACTCTTTTTTTTTTTCCCCCATATACAAGTATCCATACCATTCTAAGAACGGAACCCCTTGTGCAGCCTACTAGCATAATAAGGATTCATGGCTTCCAAGTTTACAGATTTTCACATACCAGATAATAAACTAATAAGCACAGACTCATATTCTACCTAAGGGTGAGCATCTGGAAAGAATCAATTATTAAGAAAAAAGTAGCAGCGCACATACATGCATACACCCCAATGAAGAGTCCCGAGTTTTTGCTGTTACTATTAATAACAGCAAATTAAGCCTGGAAACCCCTGTTTCTAGCAGAATGAGTAAAAGGAAAAAATATTAATGCACATATTCACTCAATTTCAAATACACTTTCACAGTGATGCTCCTCTCAGTATGCTGCACCACAGCAGCAGAATCCAGTAAGAAAAAATTTGTTCTTATTGCCTTAATATGGATGAGTAGAGAAACACTTTACGCAGGAAATGAAGACATAAACTTCATAAGAACCCTCCTTAACTGCTATCATTCCGAGGTCTAAGAAACATTATAATAGAATCATTTTGTGTTAGCATCTAGCCAGCAAAGCTAAACAGACACTTTACAGTCCCAGAAGTGTTCAACTCTGTTTGTGTCCCTTTTTGTATCATTTAATCCACTCAGTTTCTAAATTGATACAGATTCTGTTACTGTGAGTCTAGTGGCTAAGCACTGTCCACTGGAATAAGCACGGCTTTAAAAAAAGGCAAAGAAATCTGCATCGGTGGATACTATTAGTGGTTACTAGATATCACAGTTAAAGAGAAATCGGTTTAGTTTTCTAACTCAGCTTCTAAAAATTCAGACTGGGAATATCAGAATTTGGGAAAAAGAGTGAATCAATGTTTACCAAGAAGCTAGCTGGGGTTCTGTCTGGAAACAGTGTCAACAAAGCAAGGGGGGGAAGAAAAAACCACAAAGCAAAACAAAACCCAAACAAATAAAGAAGTTTTACCAACATCTCTAGAACTTGAGTATTAATAGAATTAAAGGTTTTAAAAAAAACAGATTCAGACTAACATTTGTCTACCTCAGGATTCCTGACTGCAAATATTGGAGTTTGGCAGGGCTCAATGCTTGGTTATTCATAGCACAATTACTCACAGTAACTCCTAAATGGAAACATCTTAGCATAATCAAGCTCTATATCCCTAAAAATAAATCTAATGATTAGGGCGGCTGTTTGAAAGAAGGTAGCTGGGCTACCTGTAGAAGAAATGAAATTTTTCTTTGCCTTGTTCCATTAACATACAGGACTTACACAAAGATAAGGTTAAAGATGTTAAGTTTCTTTAGAAGAAAAACACTAGTCCTGGGAATGATCAAACTGAGTATGGCAGATCAGTGAAAATTAAGAACAAAAAACCCGAACAAAACAAAAGAAAAGAACTTTTAGAAACACACAGAAAGATGAGCTGGTATACATTCAAACCAAAGAATTACTAAGACTTCTAAGAAAAAACTCAACCATACTCAGTTTGGTCATACCCAGGAGAAGTGTCTAATATTACTATCTTTGCTTTTCATAACACCAGGACTTGTGATCTTGCTCATATTTATGTTTAAATGTTCTGATGAATTGCAACCTACATCTTGAAAAGAGGTAGAATAAAAAGAATTATTTTAGAATAGTGCTTACAAGTATTGTCTCAATGAAGGCTTGCATGAGGCAGAAAAGCTATGGGATCGGTTTCTGTCTCTGCAGGCACTGCCTGAGTTACTGTGGGCAAGTCATTTACTTATCTGACCTCTAGGTATCCATCTGCAAAACGGAAGTAATTTTCCTGTTTCATAGGGCTTTTCTCATGGGGGGGTGGTGTTTAAGCATTCTGATACAACAATGATCTTCATACGTTGTGGTGAGGGACAGACCATAAGAAGCTCAGCAGTACAGAATAAATACTGTGAGAAGATGTAAATGATTACATTTAAAAATGTAAAAGTTGACACTTTAACTGGGTTATTAAAAATATATTCTCAATTATATTAATAATTTTACCTGAAAACCTGGAACAAAACAAACGCCTTGAGAATCAATAATACTCCGTGCCATTTTTGCTGTTTCATCTACATTGGTGAAAAGATCTGTAAAGACGCATAAGTCATATGCTTTTATTATTTACTTCAATTTCTTCATATATTACTAAGAGATAAAAATCTAGAGTTAGACTATTTCCTTTTGTAATGTTCTCAAACTACATGTTCTAAGGGAAACAATCGCTTCTGCTGTATTTCATGTCCATCAGTCACATTAAGAAAAAAAAACCACCAACAAACATATTCAGATGAAGACTAAACTCAAAAGGATCCTCTCATATCTGTTACGCTGTAGCTTTTTAATCTTCACATCCTGTAAGAGGTCATTAGCTTTCCAAAGAGACATAAATGGGAATTGAGAATGCTAACAATGGCACCCTAAGTATGCTAAAAACCTAGATTTGCAAAACATAAACCATGTTTTTTCCTCCCAAAGATGTTGTTATCGCCAGCCCAAGCACCAAACGACTACAGAGAAAGTCCTTAATACCCATCATATTTTATCATCACCCTTAGTATTTTTACAAGTGACTGACACAAATATAAATAAGGTAGGTCCTACTATCACTTCTTTGATAGACACTACTTTTATACTCTGTCTAGCCAGATGTCTCCTTTCACAACTCTATAAACATCCATCTTTACCTTGCTCTTCACCCACATGCAATTCTTGTGCTAACACCCATCTTCTGTAGTTTTAACTAATAATGTCTTTATGTGGCTACATAACATGTTTTTCCAGAAAACTAGAGGTCTCCTGTAAATAAGAGCTATTGCTTTTTCTTGTCTCAAAAGTAAATTCTCCTATTGAAGTTAAATCATGTTAATCTAGCTCAATTTATCTTTGAAAAACCCATCTTAGTAACTTACCAGGAGTTTCAGTTTACCTTTGTAACCTTCATAAATTTGTTTGAAAGCTTTAGATTCCACTGTGCCCAGACTAATAAGCCTAAATCACATCTTTTCCTTCTTGTAGTATTTGCTATTACTGAACTATATATAGGACCTCCATGTCAGAACAGGAAATGAAAAAATTAAGTAAGATTGACTTCACCTTGAAATTCCACATACTACTTTTTCAAAATTCTTAGAAGTGATCTGATCCCACTAAAAGAAGCCCATTAAACTAAGTTCGTCTTGCTGCAGAAATTCCTATTTCCAAACCTTTACCACTATTATATGTCTCACCTTCATCCATGTTGAGCCTCACCATACTTACTGAGGCCATTAGCTTACCTTGTGTTTTGACCCAAGTCCTTCTGTAGAGCAAAAGTTTTACCCTTCTCTTTATTCGTAAAGCTGATAAAAGTTTCTGAATTCTGCTTCTCTACAATGCATATTGCCAGAAAATAACGGTCTTACTTATTAGAGAGTTTAAAGCAGCATGCATATCTTTTGAACTCCCTCTAAAACTTCCCCAATTTTTGCCTGTGGTAACACCCATATGTCACGTCCGTTTCACTACTGGCTAGCTAAAAATCCTTTATACTCCTGCTCTGCATAGATCAGTAATATCCATTTTAAGTATGGCTAAGTTCCATATGGATAAATATCCATTTTAAGTACGGAATTTGAAGTAGCAAGCTTACATATGTACCACTGATAATTGTATCTGCAGCACTGAACTGCGTATTGTCTTTTCCTCAAAAAAACAGTGGCTGTTATTCTCTAGGCTCAGTCAAAAGTTGAATGATGAAGACCTGATGACCAATTTGAGTGATACTTAATCCTTAAGGGCACATACCTGAGCACCTATATGCACATATGGACCAGAAGTCAACAACTTAAAGAAATGTGGAATTTTGTGGTGAGCTATACTTCAGGAAAACCTTTCCCAGATAACCCAAAGTTTAACACACCAATTCCTTTTTTGCATCCTATTAAAGGTGTACTAAATTTCTACATAAACCAAGTAAATAGTTTATTAGATCACTCAGAACAGTTATCCTATAAACAAGCATTCATTTTGAACATCAGCTACTATAGACCTACTATTTTTCTTAGTCTTTTATTAAACTGGAACGCAAATCTTTTCATTAAATAATAGTCGCAGCTAAAAGACACATTACTTCTATGTGAAGCAACATACACAACACTGTTACTTTTAAAAATAAAGTTCTTCAAGTTATTTTCATATAACTCAAACCTGTTATTAATTCTGAGATGTACAGCTAGAGATTTCTCAAAAGCACTGCAGCAAGTGTTCGTGGCATACTGCATTTACAACCATGCCACTTAGATGTAATTGGTAATCAATTTCTGTGCTTCTCCTCAACTAAAAATTCAAGTCCAAATACCCTAAACCAGCACACATCTAACTTTACACAGGTCTCCTCTACACTATTTCTATTCAAGCCTGGATACCAGGTTAAAAAAACAAAAGAAGGCATACAAAGGTTTGTCACGCTCAAAAGAAAGTGAGGAGTAAAATGTTTCAGGAAAACAAAAGCCTACATAGCTAGGAGGGTCTGAGAGGCAGAGTCTGAAGTGGAGATGATTGTGCAAACCAAACTCCCTGCAATAAACACACTCAGCAGAGAACCTACTAATGGGACTGTGCATTCTCTGCTGTCCAAAACGTGTAGGCTGGTTTCTTCAATTATGGATAATAAAACCAAGCCCAGTAACATACTATAACACCATAAAACAGTTTCTTAAATACTAATATATTTCACCCTCTATAAAATTAAAGAGCTACTTACTTATATCCTGAGCCCATTTTATGGCAGTGCCAATGTCTGATATACAGCCTTCAGTTAAGTAAACAACTTCTTCCCCAATCTTCCAACCAATCAGTGGATACAGACCTTCATTAGTTTCCATGAAACAAAACAAAACACCTAGTTAAATTGTTTCCAGAAAAACATGCAAGCAGCCCCCACAATAAACCCAACTAAAAATAAAATAGTTCTTAATCAATTCCTTTGCAGAATTCAAGCTAAAAAAAGTCACTGATAGAAGTTAAATGTATTGTTTAAAAATTTAGTGATGGGATTACAACAGTTTGTTAAATCAAAAGTTAACCTAAAAAAAAAAGCCAACCACTATCAAATTACAAAAAGCCCTCTTTAAGCTAAAGAGAAGAGCTCTCTGCACTTACTTTTTTTTTTTTCTGTAAGATAAGAGATTGTATATACTTAAAAATTTATCAATGTTTTCCTATTTGTTTTAAATTCATATAATTTTCCCCAATGGTTTCTAAAAAGTCAGAATTCACTTCTCCAAAACATAAAATATGAAGGGTGGGCTTTCAGATAGGAAGCACAAACACTAAAGCAGATGTACACACACAAAAAAAAGCAACACAAACTTAGAACATAGATCTTATTCACAGAAAAGGATGAAAGCGATACACTTTTTTATTCCTTTTTCAGTATGCAATGTTTCCTCACATAGAAAGCAAGAAAGAAAACAAGTTTTACAATTTGCCCATCCTTGTCCCCAACAAAGGCTACTATCAGTTAACTATAGCATTTTACCTATATGTTTGCCTAATATAAACAACAAAGGAAACACCCAAACTCATTAAAAATATTTGGTGACATAACTACAAAAGATTAGCATTTCTGTGGTTTACATGATGGGATTTACAGGAAGTTATGATTTCCACCAAATAGTTTTGACTTTGCAGCGACTCCAAAAAAAATTCAATGACTTGGAATTTTTTTTTTTCCTTTTCTCTCAGAAGAAAGGCAGAAATACATTGGGCAAACACTATTAGTTTATTTGAAAACACAGTACAGCTGTTTGCTTCAAAATACCATTACATTAGAAATAAACAGCCAATAATAAGGATAAACCTGACGATTTTTTCTCCCCTTTGCTCCCCCACAGATACCTTGAAACCTTGACAAAGAAAAGAGAGACATACTACTTAAAACAGTTGGTGTGAACACAGAGATCATCCTGTTGGATTATCTGTATTAGTAAGAACATAGCACAAAAGTCCTGCAGAGTACTACTTTTAATGCTAAAGCAAGACACCTTGGTTATCCAGCTGAACAGTAGATGTTTTCCAGCACTGCAGCTGGACAAATGTTCTTTCAGGTCCCCTGATAAGAATCCAAGCATTCAGTAGCCACAGCAATAAAAACTTCACCCAAACCAAGTACAGCAACTGTTGGAGTGAAGAAAGCACCCAGACTTTATGGGACCCTGCTCAGGACTCTGAGATCATGGGTAATGCAACAAAGGTAAATGAGTCCCAATAACCAAAGGACCAGAAAAGCATCAGAAAGATCTAGGAATTCTCTCTGCTGTCTCGAGGTGACTTTGCTGATATACAAGTGTGCCTCACAGAATCATCTCCAGTTTGCTTGCCTGTATCCAAAAGAGTGGCACGGTAGTACTAGTGCAACTGCAGAAGCTTGGTAAGTGCTGGAGGCGCTCCAGTGCTTACAATGGAAAACAATCAGCAGCACCTATTTAGATTAAGGTTTGTATTTGTCTCTTGAAAGGAAAAAGTGATATACATATCTCCAGATCATTGGTGCAGGTCTCCCTTACAAGTCTTTATTTTCTACCAAAGGTAAAGCTGCAAAGAAGCAAGATCAATCAATTCATTGAGCCAAAAGTCCTAGAGAAAGACAGCTAATTAGGAATAGAGAAGTCCATGAGGTGGCCTTCCTAAAGATGCTCACACCAGAGTCTCGGACAGTGTAAGATAATCTATCTCTAGGGAATGGATCGACATGACACTTGGCATGACCAAAGTTACTAAGAACTATCAGACTGCCCCATTTTAAATCTATACAACATGCTTCCATCATTGAATTGTGAGAAGTGCTGTTCTTGAAGGAACTATTTTTAAGACTGCCATATATAGCAACTAAACATAGACCAGAAACTAGAACAGCAGCTAATGAACAGCTTGCACAGGGATGCTGCAGGGATTCTTGTTGCAGTCTTAAATACATACGACAGCTTTAAAGATTGAACACATTACAGTTCATGCCCAGGGCACAGAGAAAGCTAGGTACTTAACTTGCCATACTACTAACCATACCACGTGACAGCCAAAGAACACAGGGAAATACTTTTAACATAAGTAACAACCTAAAGCAGTAAAAGTTTCACAGCACTGCCTTAAAGATTTCAAGATCCTATCAGGTCACAATAGCTAAATATTTTCTTAAAAGTAAACAAAATGGAGAAACCTTACAGCATGTTTTTGCTATTATATTTCTACAGACTACATACATACGATTTCCTAAGTAAATTTGCATCCATAGGGAATTCAATGTCTATGCTACTCAGTTCTGACACATCTCATTTATTTGCCAAGGTCCTGCCAGACTTTAGCTGGTAAAAGTCTCTTCAGCATACTGCTGTCCTCGTCCCCAGCCCCACCCCTCCTATTTTAAATTGTAGACTTCCCAAAATTAGCATCTCTTTAAAAATACAACAGACAGAGAGAGACTATGCATGCAAGTTTACTTCAGTATCATCTGTTGCTCTCTTGACAAATAGCCATCTATGACAAATTAACAAGCTTGACAGACCACAAATGTTCAGAATGACAAAGTTTTAAACACTAGAAACACATTGAGGAGCTCATTTCTAGCATTTTAAAAGAAAACCAAATAATTGCTAATCCTGCATTATCTCACTGCAAGTGCTTCAAAGCGTAAGGGCTCAAGAGGAGGAACTTACAGCGATCCACTGGAACATTTTGATGTGAGAAGCCAGAGGACCAATCCCCTTTTCTCCATTCCTGTACTGTATAATACCACTATCAAGAAGAACAGGTGAAGAAAAACAACAAAAAAGTAGGGATGCAGGTAGCAGACATAATTACTAGTGATGTTACTTAAGTTCTCTTCTTGAGAAGCATATTTCAGGATAACCAAGATCTACATTTCTAATTAAAAATTTCCAGAGTCTTCTGTTCTGAAAACACTTTCAAGCTGTTTTTCTACAGCTAAAGACAAAAGGAAAAGCATAGCCCTGTTTTATGCCTTTTTGTGCCCTCATCATTAACAGCTGTCAAGTAACATAAAATACTCTAAAACCAAAGTTTCACTATCTTACCTCTCCGTGATGCAAAGAGATGCTCTCCAGTATTCACATTCCAGAAACCACCTGTTCCCATTGTCAGTTTAACATCTCCGGGGTAAAAGCAGCATTCTCCAAACATAGCTGACTGCTGATCTGCTACCTGCCATACCAACAAGAACAAAACAGTAAGTTAGCTTCCAACTACCAACCTACAATGCTGCTGGAATTTAAAACATCATTGCAAACACTTCAGAGTTCTGATTACAAATAACCAGAAGGAATATGCAAAACTTACTAAACAAGCAAGTATTAAATCAAAGCCAGATAAAAAGAATACAGGTACAAATGTACAGATTTAAATAATATTTTCACTCACCACTGCCATTATTGGAATAGGTACCCCAAATATTTCAGAGTCAGCTGATCCGAAGTTGAAGCTTAAACAAAAATGTTATGGAGAAACATCACAACACTAAATTGACCTTTTTGTTAAAATGAAATCTATGTATATAGTCTGAGTCTGCATCACATATGAAAGGTAATGCTACCAATTTATTTTAGAGAAAGCATTAAAACGGTCACTTTAAGAAATACTGAGAGTAAAAATAAAGTTTTGGATGTAGTGTTAAAAAAGTACATCTGCATGTAAAAATAAATTATTTTTTTTAGTGTAACTATATATTACTAGCCTGTCCAGACTATGTACTATTTTTCTGAAGGCAATTAATTTAACAGCTACCATATTTTTTTGAATATGCCTTCATAGTTACCTTGTGTCCTTCACTGGCGGATAAATAGACATTGGAATGGAAAGTAAATTACACAAAGTTGGGTTCCAACATTTCTGAAATAATAGGGAAAAAAAATGTCAGCAACTCTCTCAGATGCACAATAAATAGCAAAAACATTTTTTTTGGAACAGTACATACCATAAAGGGTTCAAAAACACCTGTAGCACTGGCATTTGAGTAATCTGTAGCATACACAGAACCTACCATAAAAAAAACCCAAACAACACAGCAAGATTTTAGATATCTAAATATTTGAGAGTCTTTTTAAACATACTTTTTCTTTAAACATCTCAGCAGCTCCCACGAAATATAAACTGAGTACCTACAAGCAAAGTCATAATGATACAATGAGCACAGAAACTTTACCCACTGCTCATTATAATGTGTACATATTAATTACCTTATTTTACCCTCATGAAACTGGCTAGATGAGAGCTGGTACTTCTGACAACATGTACTACACTGACTGTATCACTGTCTATCATAACCTATCCAATCGCTCAGGCATTAGCCCTCAGGACAAAAACTTGTCATTCTTCCACATTTGTAAAATCACAGGTACTTTTCTTCAATCAAGGCCAATTAGTTCTGGTAGTCCTCTTTAAATCTTAAATGCTTAAAAGGTTCATCACACTGAATAATTATTTCCTTATTTGACTACCCTTCCAGGCAGGCCCAAAGAATAATTAATTCGGAAGGTTCTGGGGTATTTTTTAACAATAAATATATTACAATATTAATCATTTATAAAAAAAGCACAAGTAGTCAAAAAAGTATTTGAATTCTAGGATATATGAATGACAGTCATGAACATCATTCCTTAGATTCCAGTATGTTTTATTAAGAGGAACTGTAACATTCACCTTTAGTCAATCTATACAGTAACCACGTGTCAACTGTTCCAAAGCAGCAGTTATTTTTTTTGGCAGCTTCTTCAGCCTGGGAACAAATACACATACAAAAAGGTGTTTGTAATTAGGTACAATAAAGAGGAACATATTTCCTGATTCCTTTTCTCATTTTCTTTGTGGTTAACGATAATGTCCCCAGAAAACAAGTCTTTGATTGCCAATTTTTCTTCTAAAAAGGGCAAGTTGGCTATATAAGTAATACTACCCTACAGTTCATGCTCCTAAAGAGAATAAGCACAGTTTCTTACAGTTGCTGCTAAGGAAAGAAAAGCAATTAATCTTCCACTGTCGTGGCATCAGAGGCTTAAGACAGGAAAGTTTATAGTTACAATTGTAACAGTGGTGAAGTAGGGGTGAATAAAGAAAACAAGGTCTACATACAGCATTTAAATAAAAATTAACAGAAATAGAATAAATAACTGTATTTTAAAGTATAAAGGCTTGACAACAATAAAGAGCCATTGTTTTCTTGTTTATGATGTCTAAAGAGTTCAAATGTTATTTTCCTTGGGGTCTTTTTTCCCTTTAAAATGCAAAATTCAGGTTTAATCTAATTTCTAACTGATAATGTGTACAACTGTAGAATTCATATAAAGAACAAACTAATTCACTCAAAACATGACTGAATACATTATTCTCTGTAATTAAGAGCCATGAATTTTTGAGCTTCTTGGTTAGATATTCACCTATTTTAAGTATTAGTGCCTGATAAAATGTCAGAGAACGTTCACCTCGCATTGAAAAGTCAGCAGCTGCATAACCTTCAGTTCTACAATCCTCCAAATTCACACCTCACTTTTTCAACAGCTTAAACCAAAATATGCCAGTAAAAAAATTATATTTGACCTCCTCAATAGTTAGTTTTGTGGTAGAAAATACCAGACAAAACTCAAAAGATTTTGGCGTTTCTTTATACATGGTAGAAGTGGATGATAACCACTTTCTTCAAAAGTGACTTGAAAATTAACGTAGAAAATAAGATGACTACAGTTACAAATACGATAGAAATAAACAAGGAAAATGGTAAGGATTAGAGCAAAGAATACAGCAACAAATAGCTCAGGGCTCATTAGGCCATTAGATTATTGCAGCAGAACTCATTTTATGTCTATTTTCCAATTTACACTGCAACAAAAGGCAAAATAAATTGCAGCATTTGATTGTCCACTATGATATTATTTGTGAAACTCTAAACACTGGAATAATGCAGAGTGGAAAGATAAGAGTGCCAGTTGAAAACAAACACAACTGTCATGCAAAACTAGAGTGCAAACAACTTTAGAACAAAGTACAATTACTAATTGTATAATTAAATCAAGTGAAATAAGGTGATTTGATTATGTTTCTTATGCACGAAGAAAACTTTTTACTACTACACATTTCCAGAACCAGAGCAAAAAGTTGTATAAACATTAGTAGATATTTAGGTAGACAGGCGTTGAACATTAACACAGATAAAAGTCTGTCATTCTGGTTCTTCTGAGGAAAACAACAAGCAGGACAAAACTGAAGAGGTTACAACCAACCTAAGTCACTAGCCATTATTATGACTTAAGAAAGCTATTATTTTTCCCTTTCCAGCTTACCTCATGTATGTTTTTAAAAACCCATGACAACTTCATAGAAGTGTGTTGTGTTGAAAAAGTAAGAAAACTTGGTGCCAAATATCGATCATTCCCAGTCAAGAAATGAAGCACTGTAAAAATAACATGGATTACCTGTTTCAAAAGAAAACAGGTAATTTTTAATCTCTCCCTTCAAAAGTTTCTGATCAATTATCTTTAAAGGATGACCACACAGATGAAAGCTGCTGACATGACATTAGATTCAGAAAGCTAAAATTCTGTTAGAGAGCCCTTACATAAGATTGCAACAGATAGCCTTCCCACAACAAATACCACAGGAAAGAGCAGCTGCACTAAGCAAGTCTGTTTTACTGACTTCTGCTGGAACACTGATACAGACTGCTCTGCGTTATGAAGACAGGTCACCTATATGAGCACAATGCATGATGTGGTTGACAGCGTTACATACTGTTATTCCACTGAAAGTTCTCCTATAGAAGACAGACTCAATCATGTTTTAATAGATTAACCAAAATTTAATCATTAATCAAGTTTTCATCCACAAAAGAAATCAGTGGCAAAACCAAGAATTTAACCTCTTGTTGTGAGTATGCTAGTTAGTTTCCACTTACAGGAAAAGTAACTTCAGTTTTTCCACTTAGAGCAAATCTTTCTCTTCTAAAGATACAAAGCACAAGCCATGAGCAGCATAACATGTACCTTCTATACGTAATCTGAGCAAAGAGTACAGTTAAAAAAAAAAACAAACCACAAAATCCAAAACACTGCCAACCAAGAACTACCTACATCCAAAAATTATGCTGTAGCAGTGTTAACATGCAACATTTTAATCCAACAAAGAGACTAAAAAAGTAACAAAATGCATGCGAGACCTACAGATATCTTTTCCCCTAATTAACTACCTTCAGGCTATCAATACTGCATTTTTTCTTGGTACTGTCTTCCATGCTGATCTTGTTCAGTTAAATGTTTTTAGGCCACAGCACATCATATTAACATGTTAACAGGACACTTGCAGTATTTCATATATTGTCCTTACTCTTCATAAAAATGAAAGAGTTGTAGTATGTCCAAGCAGTATCTAGCTTAGCACAGTTTTACCTTCAGCAGAAGGGACTTATTCCAGGAATTCACAAGTTCAGCACTTCTTGAGTCTTGCCAACTTATGAAATTATGAAAAGGTTTCCCTGTCCTCCTGAAAAACAGTATTTGAATACTCCCATTTAAAACCACAGAACATATACTGCCCCAAAAATTCAACATCATTCACCATTTCCAATCAGGACATTTAACACTAGCTCAGTTCCTAAAATAAGTGCATATCCTCCTGGTGGATTTGAGGAATTAGTAACAGGCATATGGGCATTCTGAGCATGAGACTTCTCACCAGAGTTAAAAAAGTATGTATGTATTTATCTCTTCCAAAATACTAAAAACAAAACAAAAAGGACATACACTTATAAACAGTTCTGAACTCCTGTAAGGTGTGGCTATGCACACACAAGACAATGTGAGTGTCTGACATTTGTTGCTTTCAGGTTGCAACCTGACCAAGTTCGACATTTCTACTACTTCCATCTAGTTTATGAATACAAATTCATTTTAAACAACACACAATATACATACTTGTGCCATGTAATGAAGGTTCCTCTCTGTGTTGAGATACCAAGAGCAGCAATTTGCCTCATGTGAAGTCCCGCAGCTAAAACAAAAACAAAACACACCAAAAAAAGCATTTATTTGAAGAAGCAAACAAAAATACAACTTTTCCAATGTAACTATAAAACCTAGAGAATACTTAGGAAATTAATAATTTAAGAGAATACAAATCTCTACAGACTGCCCAACTAAATGGCTAGAACAGTGAAATATTAGAGAACTGAGTCAGATAACTGATTCCAAAGCAGGTAAATAAACCTCTGTATTTTACAAACGCAGCTGTGGGTCACTGACCCTTTCCACCTTCTGAAATGCCTATTGATGCTTTACTTGAACAATCCCAGTGACGGGCAGGAAGGTTACATATGCCTATATGATCTATTAAAATGTGCATTTCACTTGGATAAATGTGAATGAAAGCACAAACAGAGGTATCACCTTTACAAACTTATGGAAAGAAATTCCATAAAGAAACAAAACTAGATTGATTCTGTAGGCAGTAGAGATTAATGTCAATATGCTGGTTTTTTTACATCACTTTGATAATGACATGTCTCACCTTCAATATTCCTTAAGTAATCTTTCAGAATTCCTAAGAACAAATTTGCTTAAACCATGTATCACTGCGCAGCAAAGTATACTTCAAATTCAGAAATATAAAAATGTACATTTGGGTGTACACCAATTTTGCTGTTAAACCTTACTTTCAAATAGAACATTTTTTCTAATATATATTAGCTAAATAATTAAGTATGTCCACAGCTATTTTCAAAGCAGCTCTGGTCAGCTTCCCAAGTACTTCCACGCATACTTGCAGAAGCAATATTATGTGAAAAAATATAAATTAAGAAATTCCACTTAAATGACAGACTACCTATTTTGTCCAAGGTACTGTTACTCTGAAAGGCTCTCAATCCCACTACTTGAACAAATCATGGGTTAAGTATGTCCTGCTCATACACATTCTTATGTTAACTTTCATGTGCAAAGTTACTCATTTGCGTAAGCATATACTGCAGACTCTACAACCAACAGCCTCTGAACAACAATTACCAAAGGGATTTCATAAAGAAAGGACATGTCTCACTCTGACAACCTCTACATGTACTTCTGCACCCTCCCTTATACTGGTCCTTGCATTCATGCAGGCAGTGTTATCAATGCCTTCAATCAGCTGAAAATTCAGTCGGTGCTTTCACAAGGCTACCTCCTCCAACTGCCTGCACAAATGCTGCTGGTAGCAGCGGTGTACAGGAGGAAGACCTGGAAGTGGGTGGCATGTGTTACTGCTCCTTATCTCCATAACCTGCATGCTCCCACCACCTTCCATGTGTCAACTATCATGCTCTGTAGATGCCTATGTGAGTAGAGCTAACTTCCATTAAAGAGAAAAACAAAACACAAGAAAACATGGATATTTTCAGCTGTCTCCTGGAAGGGTTGAACCAGTAATAGAGTGAAAGAGAGGTGTGGGACCATGCAGTCAGAAGCAGTTTCCAACTTTAGGTAGCACTGAACTACACCAGCTCATCCACGCGCACATGGAATCACGTATTTTAGCTCCACAAGTCCTCTAAACTGAAGTGTTCCCATGCCTTCTTTCTGCTTCCAGACAGTCCTTCCTGCCCCTGGTGCCACACTCTCTCTTGTGCTGGCACAAACATTGGTGAAGCTCTGTTGGCATAAGCAACCACACAGTGATTTGACTCAGGAAACTGCTCTGGTCTTGAAGCAACCCTGTACAAAGGAGGGTGGGACTGCTTCTTTTGACAGCAGTGTGGGGTTATGCTCACTTACATTACACAATCACTTAAAAATGACTTGCTGACAGCACGTTCAGCTTGGCCACAAGAAAAACTTCCTCTTTTAAAACTAGCTGAAAAATCTTGCTTCCTGATTTGCCCCCCAGAATGGGAGTAGAGGAAGCCAGGAAGGTCTTTAGGAGTTGAGGTGGCATTGCTATTTTGTGACAGAACATTTGCGGCTACTGAGAAAACAGGCCAAGAGCCCAAAATAATCAGCTGCAGCTTACACCACATAATGGTTACTTTCCCTGTCCCCTAGGCTGCCTTCCAAAGGAAGAGATGAGCGGTTTTGCCTTGAGCCAGGCTTGGAGGCAGAGAAACACGTGGAGACCAAACTGCAAGAGGGGCTGAACAGGAGGAAGCTTAGGGACTGAATGAAAAAGGATGATGCACACACATGTGACAAGGAGGCTGAGGCACCGCGAGAAACCGAGCTGGGGTGCAGTTGACAGGTCCACGGCATCAGCATAGCACAGAAGGTGATCCATGCTGGATCGCAGAATGCTGAAGCTGGTATGAGAAAGCTGTGGGAGCTGTAGAGAGTTAGTGCCTGGTTAGAGCAGCATCCAGAAATCGGGGAAAAATAAACATCAGAAGTTTGGCAGAAAAGCGAGTTGTGTGTGTTTAGTGCATGCAGTACCAGGGAATTTTAGGCTAAAGTACAAGTAGAAAAGAACAATAATACAGAAATCGGATACTAAGAACTGTTTGTGATTTGAATGGGAAAAGCAGGAATATCATGTTGGAATCAAGTGAGCACAACTATGCGGCATCCTGCTTTCATTCTCTCATACACTCACATTCGCACACACAAAGCACCAGTAGAATAATGGGGAATCAGAAGGGGAAACAAAGCTACTCTCTGTTCATACACAGAGCCATCGGGAGGAAGACAGATGCTGGGGAACGATACGTATACAAAAAGCTGGAGCAATAAGGTGCTGTCACTGACGTGTAAATCAAGTACACACACTGCTTCTGGTTCTACTTCAATCCTAATCTGGTCCCACTGAAAGAAAAAAAGTAATTGAAGTGTCCCATTTTACATAATGATTGAATAGGCCTTAAAGCACGTCATAGACCTGTGCTCAGAGATGAATTTTCAGTACTTAAAAAAAATAATCAATCTTATCTAATTAACTAACTTTACTAATTTTGATGAATAATTAATTAACTTCTCAAACTTTATAAGCCATTACCTCGTACAGCCTCTTTTATTACATCAACAAACTGACTCCACAGCACTTCAGGATCTAATTCAACCCATCCAGGACGAGGATAAAGCGATTCTACCTGTTTGTGAAAAACATACAGCATTGTTATGATCCCTAGTTCACAGAAACCAGCACTCTTGCGAAAGTTTGTGCAAATACAGTTGGCTTTGCTTTTTTTTTTTTTTTTTTAATTTTCTGAATCTACTGCAAGAGAAGAAACAAGAGTGTTCGTCACTTAAAACATGGTTGAATGTGGGTGTGTAATGCCTAGAAGACCTCCTCCGTTCGGAGGCAATAAAGAAGCCCAAATATCCAGGAACTGGGGAGCCTGTAAACCCCTTTCGAGGCTCCAAACTGGAAACCAGGTTTCTCAACCTTTTGGCTCTGCTGCTGACCTCGGACGTCAGTGCCTCTGAGCAGCTCACCAGCAGCGTGGGACAGCAGGCCAGGGATCACCCACCAGATGGGCTTCCAGGGAGAGGGAGGGTCAGCCCTGCTGAAAACATTCCCTTCCATCTGAAAATCCATTCCATTTCTTACACTTCTCCTCGCTGCAATCTTTTCATTGCAATAGCTAACAATAAAAGAAGTTAATTCTGGAGATCATCTTGATCCCAAAATCATCAGCAGTGCAAATCAAAAATAGCCTGAAATTCATGTTCCAAAGTTAACAGTTGGGTTTTTTTTGTTACACAATGGGACGTGTAAATGCAAGTCCTACGTAAGCCTCGGCTACACCCTGTTAACAAAAATCGTTTTGTTTCGTTTCGAGAGAAAGTAGTCGATAAGCGACTAAAGCAAAGGTAACAGGGAAAGGTGGGCGGTAGCAAACGCTGAGGTAAAGGGGCGAGTGCAATGGCGGTATCGCCGTGGGGCTCCCAACCGGGCTGGGGGTTTTTGTTTCACCCAGACTGGTCTGAGGGCCCTCGGGAAGCCGTCCCCATCCGACTCGCCTCAGGGCTAGGAACAGCCAAGCTGGGTGAGCGCCTGTGAACGCTTCCCATGCCCAGCCCCGACCCGCGCCCCGCCTGGGCAACCCGCCACCTCCCGGGACCCCGCGCGGGTGAGAGAGCCGGAGATCCACAGGTCAAAACCGCCCGGCACTCGGCGAGAGCGGGCATGTTCGGCCCCGCCCGCAGGCG